GGTTCGCACTCACGTTAGAAGTCTCTCTCAGTGGATTCTGTATCTTTTTTCTCCCAATCTCTCAGGTTTTGTAAGGTTTCCAATGGCTTCAGATCTTTTCTGTGTGATGTATGGGCGCGAGTGCAAGTACGGAGCTCCTTACGTCTCCGCCATCTTGCCCTCCTAATCAAATGTGCTTTATTTTCAAAAGTTCGTATTGAGAGTACCAGTAGAGAAAGGACCATTTAGATTTCAAACAAAAGCTTCTTTAGTGAATTCCATTATTTATATAATGTTAGGGATGGACTTTGAAGTGGACTTTGAATTTTAGTTATAGTGAGTTCCTGAAGGAGAAGGTGATCACATAATCACAACAATCTCACATTTTGATAGCATCCTTCTTATCCCCACATTTCAACTTACTCCTTGTAGAGTTAGGGTAAAACTAACCATTGACCTTCATGATCATGGTTTTCAAGAATGATATTTAATGGACTGAGACTCCGGGTGGATGGACACTTCATAAATTAAAATGATTACCATCAATTTGTGTGAAACAGACCACGAAGATATGATTTGATTTCATCATAAAAAAACACCTCCCTGCCACCCTCAAAATATGGTTAGGGGAGACAAGAGCTAATATTCTAGTGGTCATTGCTGATGTTTTGTAGAGAAAGTTGAGGAAATTTTATTTTATGTTCTTGTGTTTTTTCCCCTTTTCTAAATGTAACTTTGTCAATAGTAGTTAAAAGATCCATAGATGTAAGTTATATATTGCATTATTATAAATTTCTTCAGCTATCATGACTACGGATAAACTCATACTTTCTGGATTTTAGTAGTTATCTACAGTTACTTGGAATTACTTGCAAATCTATGAAGTTGAAAGTTCCTTAATAAAGCGTCTGCCATGTTTTATTCCAGTATTTTCACATTTTATGTGAAATAGACTGAAAATTTTACATATCATATGTAAAATTTATAATAATAACATATAGGATATATGCTTATAATAATAAGATATAGGATATGTTATTTATATAATTTATAATAATAACATATAGGATAGCTCCCAAATGCATTTTTTGGAAGGAATATACACTCAACTTCTTTTCGGGAGCTTCTTTGTAACATTATTTACTTCTAAACTAAGCTAAATCCAACCAATCTGAGCTAAAAATACTTTGAAAAATTTTATTGGAAAATCTGGGCAAAATTTATTATGTATGTGAATATAATTTGATCAACTAGGAGGGAGAATCTTTTCTCGACTCTCTTATGGTCCCTGTCTGGGTCTGAAAATTAAACTCATAAAGTCAAACTAATAGGATATTTAAGTTTTACATGATGTGGCAACCCCCATAAGGAAATGAAGACTCAAAGAATTTGTGAAACCTGCTTGCTATAATAGTGGATTAAAGGGGCACGTGCAGAAAGGCAACTAAACCTCGTGGCGAAGCTGAAGGGTGCTGTGAATTATTTTAACAAGGTCTGTTTACATAGAATTCTCTCCATCTCAATTTCTTGCTGTTGTTGAGAATAAAAATGTTATCTTCCTTCTCATACAGGGAATACACCTTTCGCATAGCAATTTAATATCCTGCTTTTAAGAAACAGAAAGGAGGACTGAGTGTTTTTCCTGTATTTGCTGTTCTTCAAGTGCCTTTAACTCAAGAGTCAATATACCAGAGTGGTGATGTTCTCTGAACTCCTTCAACAATCAGTGGCAGCAGTAGCCTGTAGGAATAGGATTATAAGTACAAGGAAACCCAAATGGCAGTGGCTTAAACAAAGCAGGGTTTGTCTCAAATATAAAGAAACGTGGATGTGGACAGGAAAGGGCTAGTGTGGGGGCTCCACGATAGCATCAGGGATGCCTGCTGTCTCTTTTCTGCTCTGCACTTAATAGTGTGTTTGCGGGGCGCCTGGGTGGCTTAGTCGGTTAAGCGTCCGACTTTCGCTTAGGTCATGATCTCGCGGTTTGTGGGTTCGAGCCCCGCGTCGGGCTCTGTGCTGACTGCCAGCTCAGAGCCTGGAGCCTGTTTCAGTCTGTGACTCCCTCTCTCTCTGGCCCTCCCCTGTTCGCGCTGTCTCTCTCTCTCTCCTAGAAATAAATAAAACATTTAAAAAAAATTAAAAAAAAATAGTGTGTTTGCTTTCATCTTTGTTCTTGATACATAATGGTCTTATGGTGGCTGAGGCAACCGCAGGCATCTGTTCTCCATTGCACAGAGCAAAGGGTAAAGATGTCCTCTTTTCTACAGGGAACTGGAGCTTTTTCAGGGGCCACACCTAGCATATTGTTTCTTATCTTCTTATTCACACAGGGCTGAAAGACAGCTAGGAGTAGGGCTTGTGGATTACGGATGTCTGAAACCAACAGCGCAGCTAAATATAGACACATGCAAATCACAGGGAAAGATAAAAACGTGCAAATGGTGGGCAGAGTTTTTTTGTCGTTGTTTCTTTAAAACGAATTAGTTGTCATTTTCCAACAGGCTGGCATTCCTATTCAAAATACAGAGTTCTGTAATGTGGATATTTCTGACCAGATCCCATGAGGTCAGCAATTTTGTTTTCCTTCTTGAAAGATAGGACAGATAGCTTGATTATATCATGGTGTTTGCTATATCTGTAGAAACGTGTAGAATTCCTAGCTTGACTTAATTATGGCTTTTACAGTGAATAATGGTGATGATTTACAATTTCAGATTGGCAGTAGGCTGACCATCTATGCCTGGGCCTTGAACTGGTATTAGTCTCTGAATGTTTTTTAAAAATGACAGTAAAATTAGCAATTAGAATCTAGAAGGTGAACATTTAACTGTTTAATCCAACTATGAGGAAAAGTGAAAGGAAAAATATATATGCAAGAAGACTTGTGTGTGAAATTCAAATAACTGAATTTTAGTATAGTTGAATTAATAAAATTGTAGAACAAAATAATGATGCTTATGTATATGCATAATAGACATATATGCTGATATATCCTGGTATTTTTTGAAAAAACGAAACTGCAGTGGGTTTATTTGGGTGTATACACTTATAATGAGATATGACCATGTCCTTTTAGATGAGAATGAGCTACTTGTTCATTCTTTTTGAAAATCATAGATTTATATATCTTATTTTGGGGGACAAAATACTGATATTTTAGTGTTTTCTGAAGTAAATATTCCATAAGTTTAATTTTAACTGTAAGACAATCTATGAGATCTTCTAGTTTCTATTACGTTTATATTATATGCAATGTATTAACTTTATTTGTATCTTATAGTATTACAATATATTACATATTTTATAAAGTGTGTACCCTCCTCACACAGAGCTCATATGTGCACAGAGTTAAAAGCTCCCTTATTTGTTATACGTAATCTAATGTTCATGAGCACAGTCTGCTGCCTAGATTGTAATGTGTACCTGGGCTGGGTCAGGTCACGGTTAACTGGCTTAAAACAACATCCCAGCCTCGTCATTTTAAACACTCTTTTCTGGTAAACACTCACCATTGCAGCTGCTAATGGTCTCCTCTCGTTCCTGCCCTCACCCTCACCCTCTTCTCCTGCCTTTTCTGGAGGTTTCCACGTTCCATGTGGGTAAGCCACTGTTTCACCCCAATTTCCCTTACTTTCTCAATACCTATCACCCCTTTCCCTAAGTGCTTCTCCAGGGCTTCCTGGCTATAGATGTGGCCCAGATGGTGGAGGAGAGGGATGAAGAGGAGGACCTTTGCATCCATCTCCTTGTCTTCTGTGTGTCTCCCCTTCTGCTCCTGTAATCCACAGTCAAAGGATTACTGTGGATAATAGTATAGTGTCCTATACTATTCTTGTAGACATTCTATACTCTTTTATTCTTAGAGGGGGAAAAAGCATCCCATGTCAGCCTCACTGGTAGGAAGGGCACCCTGTCCAAGTCATCAGAAACACTCTTTAATCTGGGTCAGGCTGGCTTGACTCTTGATGTTGTAGCCGCAGGATGATTTGTAGCTAAGAATAAAATTGTTTTGGATTAATATTGCCTAAAATGAAATTATAGAGTATATGTATTCTCCTTGTCCCATTGACTGAAAACAAAAATGGTCAGATCCTAGACATATCCTCATTATTTCAGACTCCAAATTCTCCATTTTTATTGAAAGGAATCAAATGTGCTAATAAAAGTTAGTTTGAACATACATGTTCATAGAAACTTGTAAAGGGTCTGTGTGTGTGTGTGTGTGTGTGTGTCTATGGATATATTTCCACATCGACAAAAAGAAAAAGGCAGCTACATCATTACAGTTTCTATCCCTCAGTCATATAGCATACAGTGCACACTCTTCTGTTTGTCAGTTTATGAGTAAATAGTTTCATTTAGACTCATATCAATAGTCATTATAATTATATCTTCGATAACTGGAAAATTAATATATTTTGAACATTCTAAATAACTTATAGTTAGACCAGTTTTCAATAATTCAAGAAATTAGCTTGATAGGGTCAATAACATCCACAATATAAAACTAAGATCACAAAATACTTTAAAAAAAAAAAGTTCTTAAGAATAAAAAATGCTCTGTGTAGATGAATGTGCACATTGGTGTTTTGTCTTTGTCTTTGTTTATTTTTGACTTTGACTTTATATCTCATGTGCTTTATACAATTCCAAACCAAAGATGCCATATTAGTGTCTTTATTTCAGGGCCATGCAGTTTCCGAAAATAAATGTGTGTTCACATTGTCTGTTACAACAGAAATATCTGCTTGCATTGTTGAGGATTTAATGTGTGTTGTAAGGATTTACCCATCAAGAAAATAAGATCTATGCCATGCTGTAATTAAAATAAGTCATGACCCCCAAAGCGATAATTTGTGGAAGGTAGTATTTAATTGCGAGTATTTCGGCTGGGGCAGTGGAATTAGAAGTCGGTACAACTTTTCAGAAAATAGGCGGTAAGACAAAGTCCCTAAATGGGAAGCAGGCAGCTTTGCACTGATCAGGCTTGTTCATTTGGTAGCTGATCTTTTTTATTTAATTGGCATAATATAAATTGATTTTCAAATTAACTGGGAACGTGTGTAAGCTTATATAGTGTTCTTTTCACTGACATGAATTTTCACAGAATAATCCCACCAACATAGCCAGTACACAAATAGAGGAAGAACCCATTATGGGTACCCAAGAATTCTCTGCTTAGCATGGTAATTTTTTTTTTTTTTTTTTTTACAAATAGTTTATTGTCAAATTTGTTTCTACATAACACTCAGTGCTCATCCCCAAAGTGCCCTCCTCCATGCCCATCCCACCCTCCCCCCCACATCCATCAGTCCTCAGTTTTTGTCAGCATTCAAGAGTCTCTCATGGTTTGCCTCTCTCCCTTTCCCCCACCATTTCCCCCCTTCTTCTCCCGCTTGTTCCTCCGTCAAGTTCCTCCTAATCCTCCTTTACGTGCAAACATATGATATTTGTCCTTCTCTGCCTGACTTATTTCGCTCAGCATAACACCCTCAAGGTCCATCCATGTTGCTACACATGGCCAGATTTCATTGTTTCTCATTGCCATGTAGTATTCCATGGTATAGATAAACCACATCTTCTTGATCCATTCATCTGTTGATGGACACTTAGGCTCTTTCCATGTTTTAGCTATTGTGGAGAGTGCTGCTATGAACATTGGGGTACATGTGCTCCTATGCCTCAGCATTTCTGTATCCCTTGGGTAAATTCCTAGCAGTGCTATTGCTGGGTCATAAGGGAGTTCTATTGTTAGTTTCCTGAGGAACCTCCACACTGTTTTCCAGAGGGGCTGTACCAGTTTACATTCCCACCAACAGTGTAGGAGGGTGCCCGTTTCTCCACATCCTCGCCAGCATCTAGAGTTCTCTGATTTGCTCATTTTAGCCACTCTGACTGGCGTGAGGTGGTATCTCAGTGTGGTTTTGATTTGTATTTCCCTGATGAGGAGGGATGCTGAGCATCGTTTCATGTGTCTGTTGGCCATCTGGATGTCCTCTTTGGAGAAGTGTCTGTTCATGTCTTCTGCCCATTTCTTCACTGGGTTGTTTGTTTTTCGGGCGTGTAGTTTGGTGAGTTCCTTATAGATTCTGGATATTAACCCTTTATCTGATATGTCATTTGCAACTATCTTTTCCCATTCCGTTGGTTGCCTATTAATTTTCTGGGTTGTTTCCTTGGCTGTGCAGAAGCTTTTAATCTTGATGAGGTCCCAACAGTTTATTTTTGCTCTTGATTCCCTTGCTTTTGGGGATGTGTCAAGTAAGAAGTTGCTGCGGTGGAGGTCAAGGAGGTTGTTTCCTGCTTTCTCCTCTAGGGTGTTGATAGTTTCCTGTCTCACGTTCAGGTCCTTTATCCATTTTGAGTTGATTTTTGTGCATGGTGTGAGAAAATGATCTAGTTTCATTCTTCTGCATGTTGCTGTCCAGTTCTCCCAACACCATCTGTTAAAAAGGCTGTCTTTTTTCCATTGGATATTCTTTCCTGCTTTGTCAAAGATCAGTTGGCTGTATACTTTTGGGTCCACTTCTGAGTTCTCAATTCTGTTCCATTGGTCTATGTGTCTGTTTTTGTGCCAATACCATACTGTCTTGAGGATGACAGCTTTGTAGTAGAGGCTGAAGTCTGGGATGGTGATACCTCCCGTTTTGGTTTTATTTTTCAGTATTACTTTGGCTATTCGGGGTCTTTTGTGGTTCCATACAAATTTTTGGATAGTTTGTTCTAGTTTTGAGAAGTATGCTGGTGCAATTTTGATTGGAATTGCATTGAATGTGTAGAGTGCTTTAGGTAGTAATGACATCTTAACTATATTTATTCTTCCTATCCATGAGCATGGAATGTTTTTCCATTTCTTTGTGTCTTCTTCAATTTCCTTCATAAGTTTTCTATAGTTTTCATCATACAGATCTCTTGTATCCTTGGTTAGGTTTATTCCGAGGTATTTTATGGTTTTTTGTGCAATTGTGAATGGGATCAGTTTCTTGATTTCTCTTTCTGTTGCTTCATTATTGGTGTATAAAAATGCAACCGATTTCTGTACGTTGATTTTGTACCCTGCAACTTGGCTGAATTCTTGGATCAGTTCTAGTAGGCTTCTGGTGGAGTCTGTCGGGTTTTCTATGTAGAGTATCATGTCATCTGCGAAGAGTGAAAGTTTGACTTCCTCTTTGCCAATTCTGATGCCTTTGATTTCCTTTTGTTGTCTGATGGCTGATGCTAGGACTTCCAGCACTATGTTAAACAACAGTGGTGAGAGTGGACATCCCTGTCGTGTTCCTGATCTCAGGGGGAAAGCTCTCAGTTTTTCCCCGTTGAGGATGATGTTAGCTGAAGGCTTCTCATAGATGGCTTTGATGATGTTTAAGTAGGTTCCTTCTATCCCAACTTTCTCGAGAGTCTTTATTAAGAAGGGATGCTGTATTTTGTCAAATGCTTTTTCTGCATCTATTGACAGGATCATATGGTTTTTATCTTTTCTTTTATTGATATGATGGATCACATTGATTGATTTGCGAATGTTGAACCAGCCCTGTAACCCAGGAATGAATCCCACTTGATCTTGGTGGATGATTCTTTTGATATGCTGCTGGATTCGATTTGCAAGGATCTTGTTGAGAATTTTTGCATCCGTATTCATCAAGGATATTGGCCTATAGTTCTCTTTTTTTGTTGGATCTCTGTCTGGCTTGGGAATCAGAGTGATGCTGGCTTCATAAAATGAGTCCGGGAGTTTTCCTTCGACTTCTATTTTTTGGAATAGCTTGAGAAGAATTGGGATTAATTCTGTTTTAAATGTCTGGTAGAATTCCCCAGGGAAACCATCAGGTCCAGGGCTCTTATTTGTTGGGAGATTTTTGATCACTGATTCGATTTCTTCACTCGTTATGGGTCTGTTCAGGTTTTCTATTTCTTCCCGTGTGAATTTTGGTAGTGAGTGTGTGTTTAGGAATTTGTCCATTTCTTCTAAGTTGTCCAATTTGTTGGCATATAATTTTTCATAGTATTCCCTGATAATTGCTTGTATTTCTGAGGGGTTGGTTGTAATAAGTCCATTTTCATTCATAATTTTGTCTATTTGGGTGCTCTCTCTTTTCTTTTTGATAAGCCTGGATAGAGGTTTGTCAATTTTGTTTACTTTTTCAAAAAACCAACTCTTGGTTTCATTGATCTGTTCAATTGTTTCTTTGGTCTCTATGTTGTTTATTTCTAGCATGGTAATTTTTAAATGATTGCTAGATATTGCATGTGGAAAAAGTATAAAACCTTGAGGTAAAGTCATACTGCTCAAAAGAGAATATACTTTTGCCTCTGTTAAAATAGGGGCAAAGGACCTTAATTCAATCAGAGTTTGAACATTGGGGTTTAGTCAGAGTGAGGCATAGTCTAGACCACATGCAGAATTATTCATAGAGTGTAGAGTTTCAGTGATCCCATGGGAAGGACTGGGCATTTCCCGGGTCCTTGCCTCCTTGGTGGCTAGGAAATGTAGTGTTTGACCCCTCAGGCCCTGACTGCTCTCTCCTCAGAGACCCTCCCTCCGAACTTCGTGTTTCTGCTCAGCCTGCCAGCCTTTCACTGCCCATCATTTACAGGGAGGACAAATCATGTGCATACCTTTTAAAACAAAAGTTGGGTAATTATCTTCTCCTGCTTTTTTCTCCTACTTCTTATTTACATCTTGTCACATGTTTAGCGTCCTAGCATAACGGATTTTTCATGTTCCAGCTGAGGGCCCTTCCTTTCTCTGATTCTAGCCCCAGGCTTCTGTGATTTACCCCACACTGTGACAGACTGGAGGCGGGACATTTGCTCTCAGGCTTTGATTAGAGAGAACCGTTTCCTGCTTGGCTCACATCTGATGTTCCTTGATTGTGCAAAAGTCGTTGACCTACATAATAGACTCTGCTTGCAACAGGCCAAGGATGTACCTTTTCACCAGGTAGCGCATACTGCTGGTAGATGTATCTGCTTACCATTTTCTTGGGCTGTATGATCCCAAGGTCATCACTTAATTCGTGTTATATGATGCTCAGACTCTCGGTTTATACATGAACACAGAAAATGATGAATGGAGTATTTTCTGATAGCACTGACTTACCTGAAAATACCCATTTGATGCACTGTGCTTTATCATAATGTACAAATTTTAGTTTTAAATAGTGAAAAATGTAAGCGATCAAGACTGCAGAAATGTTATATTTCAGAGAAAAAGAGGTACACATGTGTATAAACAAAAGCTTGCGACCCATAAAATGTGAACAAGATAAAGGCAAAGTCATTCTCTAAAAGTAAGCCTCCAGGAAATACTTGACATTTTCAGGAAGATGTTTGCCCTTTAATGTCATCATTTGCTTTTTCCATCTGGTTTTTTGAGGTGCTTGAAAATTGCAGCTTCCTGGGTTTTTTTTTTCTTTTTCATTTTCAGAAGGTGAAGGAGTAGGAATAGTAATGAGATGCTCTTCAGACAGACAAATGCCAAGATGGCCAATTAGCTGACATCAAAACAAAAATAACTCTTTTCACATGGAATCTTTTTTTTTTCCCTTTAAGACCTCAACTGCCACAGTCAATGTGCTAGTGACAGATGTCAATGACAACGCCCCAGTGTTTGATCCCTATCTGCCTCGAAATCTGTCTGTGGTTGAAGAAGAAGCCAATGCCTTTGTGGGTCAAGTAAGGGTAAGTGGCGGGTACATATCAAGTGCATTTTTAAGGGAATATGTTTGTTACATTTTGATTTTGAAAACACATTCAGCTAACGCAGGGTGCCATGGATCATCAGAAGTGTTGAAAGCGATCAGTGAAGGAAATCACTCGGGTATAAGGCGAAACAGCTGTCAATTGCGTTCATTCTCACTCACAGTGCTGGGTAGTCTTCAAGATTTTCTTTTTTCAAAAATCGCATCGTGTCCATTTGGCTTTAACTTATTAAGCTTGTTGACTTACATGTTAGGACCATCAGGTGATTTATATGTTGATTCATTTGATTAATTATTTTCTTATTTAATATATTTTTATTTTCTGGGATTGCACTATGGTATTTGTAGAGAAGTATGTGATTAGTTCTACTATTAAGTATGAATTTGTAGGTGCATGTCTCAAAATACAGATGTTTAGAGATAAATTCATCTCAGCATTCACTGGGTATCTGTATTTCACACATACCTCTTGTCCAACGTATTCGTCTTGACTGGACGTATTAGCCACTTTCTATAGTTCCTTTGATTAATCATCCCATTTTTCTTATATCGGGGCAATATTTCCTCAGTTGGGCCATACTTGGTTTTGAACTTGTTGAAGGGTCTAGAAGCCATAAGCTGAGGGCATATTCGGAGGACGACACCCCTATGGTGAAGCATCTACCTGAGATGAGGCATCTGTGTGGGCCACAGGCAAGGGAAGAACCCTTCTCTCTGAAGGAGTGGGGCACCTCGATGCGCGAGTCCAGACTTCAGGATCGCACCCCTTCCCCATTAAAGCTGCAAACTTTGAAGAGGAGCTTTGCCAGTGCTTGGAAGCAAGCCTTCTCTACAAGTCCACTGCTCTTCTGGTCAGACAAAGTGCCTGGTGTTCAGCTCAGTTTCCTTTCTGGCTGCAGAAGAGGATGGCTTCTTTAAACATTGTCACCGAGACCTTCTGCCTTACACACCAAGCCCTAAGTGTTTGACTGAACAGTTGGATCTGATCGATGTCTCCCCTTAGACCTCTGATAATGACTTACAACAACTTCACAGCCATTATCATCATCATTGTCATTCTCTCAAATCCTGGAGAGGTCACATAAGACATACATCCCCTCATACCTTTATGCCACTCCAGCTAGCCACAGGGGAGAAATGTTGTAATTGGGCTGGGCAACATGCTAGGGAGTCTCGATGCCATGTAGCCAGCAAGGCTGCCAACTCCAGAACCCTGCATAACAGTGTCTCTGGTGTCAAAACTTTCACCGCAGACTTGGCAAGAAAAGACCTGTAGACAGACGATTGGGAAGGTCAAGTGGCACTAGCAGGAGAGTGAGGAAGTGATGCAAGGAAGAGACAGTTATCTTTGAAGGGCTGGCTACTACACAGGTCCTCATGAGGAAGACTGGAGCTCAATTCCAATGACAAATCTAGGGAAATCTACAAACATATGCCCCAGAATTATCAATCCTGAGATGTGATGGAACTGGCCAAGTGGTGCGCAATATCCCGACAGTTCTTGGTCACTGATGTTTGTAGGAGGACGTTTTCGGTGCTTCTTGCCTCCAGTGCAAGCAAGCAGCTGGCTCTTTATAGCTCAGATACAAGAGCGTTGAGTCAGATTGTGCACGCCAGCAGGCGGGAGTGGGCCGGAGAGTATACATGTTCTGAGGGACACGTGTGGGGCACTAGCACATCCTGTGACACCAAGTAGACAAGGTGATAAAATCTGAGTGGCAGGTGCAGAAAACGCAGAAAAGGAGGCGATGCTGGTGTTGACTCACGAAGGATGAATATCGATGAGAAGAAAATTGGGAGGGGTTAGAGGTTGTCTGGCATGTGCATGAATAAAAGCACAGACACAGAGCACTGACATGTCATATTACAGCAGATCAGATGTGCCACGTTGTCAGCATTTCTCTGTGCTGTTGGAGAAGGTGCTGGGGGGACCCCTGCAGGGCCTGATGGATGGCATCACTAGATTTTTTTTATATAAAGTTTACTTCTGAGTAGATTGCAATGGGAGATTCTAACTTCAGAAAGCTGTATTTAGTCACATCTGTCAACTATTCAGAGAGAATAAACAGGTACTGATATCACTCAGGAAAATTACCTTTTCCGTTTCTCATACTATACTTAACATTGGAGAGGTAAAGCCCATATGGAATATATGATTAATAATAAGTAAGCAGACATTAATATAATGATTAATTTTCAGTTATTTTTATTTTTCCTTGTTTTTCTTTTTGTCACTTTCCTTAGTGATTTTTCATCTTTGAAGGAATTAGAGCATTAAATTTGTTTCTGATCTCCTAGTTCTTAAATTGGGTGAGGAATGGTCTTCATAATATATTTCAGCATTAAAGATTGAAATACAGACCTTGGCACTCATGATTTGATAAAGCAGTAATCGTCCTGGTCTTTAGGCAATAACCTCTTTTCATAAAAACCTAAAATGACAGAAACTACAAAGGAACATGAAGACCTGCAAACCAGGTGCATCCTACTGATTCCGCGCAGTTCCACAGAAGGTGTAACAGTCATAGAATGGGATGTTGATGCATCATGATGGTCTCCTGTTGCTACCTAATGAGAATTATATAATACATTGTTTTTACTAAATGACTCATCCTCTTCTTATAAAATTTAATTTTAATTGTCACCAAAAATCTATTAAGACACACTTAAAACCAAGATACATATGGTTATTTATTCTACAGAATTTGAGTTACCAATTTAAGAGTTTTTGTTCTAATGTTTTGGTGTGTTAATCCACTATTTGCATTCTGATGCTGAGGGAACTTTTTATTTACTTCTTACGTCGTAAGGCAGTGTTGTAGTAACCGAACTTTATTAAACAGGGAGTACTTCTAAAGCAATATTTATGGATTGTTCAAAGCAAAGTTTTATTAGCATATTAAAAAATAAACTACCAACCAGTAATGTTTCAGCATAGAGCTCACTATGTGCAAGTCCGATATACCATACTGAAATTTGAAAACCATTTCCGTATTCCCAGGGCACTTGTAGTGACAGTATTGTTGGGGAGAAGAGAATGTGTGCAGAGTGAAACCTAGCAAACACAGGAGAACAGGCTCTGTGTCTATGTCAAGTGTCAAAAGTGCCACCCTGATGATTTACAGATGAGGAACCACACAAAGGAATAAGTAGCTATGTGAGGGTTCATGAGAAAATGTATTTGTCTGCAGGATCTTGACAAATTAGTGAGATTCTAGGTTGGAACAAATAAGGAAAAGAAAGAAACTGGGCAGAGATGACCTAGGACAGAGTTGGGCTGAAGAGGCAATTTGAGAACAAGTCAATAGTCTGACAATAATGGAAGATTTGTTGAGAAGAGCTCTGGACAACCGATTAGGAGCATGTTAAATTCTCATGGTGAAGGGCGGGCAGGCTGCTAGAGAGACTTGGCGGGTGGGTGAAAAGTCACGTTCGGTTCCCTGCACAGCACGTCACAGGGGGAGGTTCTGGGGAGTCTGCATGCATCTTCTGGCAATAGAGATCCCCAGGTGGGTCTTGAGTGTAAGAGGCCTCACACCAGCCACCAACAAAATCTCTGCCCATTCCAGACCCGGGGTGTGCAGAGAAGCAGCAGAAGATGTGTGCACATAATGAGAGAGAGATTGTATATTAGAGAAGACCTAATATATGTATTAGAAAAGATATACACACACACATATATGTATAGAAATAATTCATGTATGTAGGTACTATTGTTAAATAAGGGAAATAGTTGAGGGTAAGGAGGCTGGGTCTACTGTTGGGATTATGTCATTTTTTTAAAAAGTCTGGTAAACTGCTTAGATGTGTTTCCCAAACCCCATTTATTCCTAAACCAGAAGGACCCCCAGGAACGGTTCACCCCGAGGCTGAGAGTGAGGGGCTGAGTCTGGTCCCCCCACACACCCTGGGTCTACAGATGTGGGCCATCAGTGTGTGGAGGCCATTTTCTTTTATCTGCTCAAAGAACGTCTGACAGAGGGACCCCCGAATCTGGGTGAGGAGTGCAGAGGAGATACAGGGGTTGCCTGTTTCAGTGAACCCCGTCTTCGCGGCTGGGTCACAAAAAGGACATCTTTGCACTTGTCTGATAGATTTAATGCCGTTTTCACTTTGGCACGCATGCCCAGGAGGTGCTTCGTGGAGATTCGGGGTGAGCATGAGTTGAGTCCAGGGGTCCTCGGAGCCTCATCCCCGCTGTCTGACCTCAGGACAGCAGCTCGTGGCGGGGCTCCTCAGGGGCCCTGCTTCTGCGGACATTTGTCCTGGTTTTCAGAATAGCCCTTGGCATGAAAGCCCACGCAGCGGCAGCAGAGTTTCACTTAAAACCACACCGTCTGTTATGTTTAAAGCAGGTTCTTAGCAATGTAGACGATAGAGTGAGCCGCTTCCTGGCAAACTTCCAGTCGGTGCTTTGCAGAAATCCTTATGCTGAGCTAACTGACTTCTTTAGCTCTAAGTAACAAAACTAGAGGCCCTAAGTCAACAGAATGTTCTTCCAGTTCTAAAACAAAAGAGGCTGAATTTATTTAACCTGAAGCATCAGTGTAGTCCCAGTGTGAGGTCTGCATGCTAAGTCTCAGCTACAGTGTAGCCATTCAGTCTAAACCCTGAAAGCCCTTTTAAAATCATTAGCACACGTCAGTGTTTAGAAGGGAGGAAAGGCGTTCACTTTAAAAGGAAATTGGTATTTCTTCCAAATATACAGTTTAATATGAAGCAAAATAAATCTGAACCCCAGCGGTGTGTCTGTGATGAATGTCCTTGTGGTCTCTCTGTGTGGGACTCTAAAGATGAAATGGAGGTGGGGAGCTTTATGGTGTTTTATTTATTTTTTGTAGCTCACTATGATATTCAACAGTGCCTAAAGCTGTAATTCTTCTTTTTTAAGTAGGCCACGAGTGGGGAATTTTCTCTTGTCAAGTTAAACTATAAAATGCAAACACTGTACTCACTCAACTAAAGAAAGAAGCCTGCACA